TTTGGAAAGGGGCTGGAAGAAGTTTGTCATCTAGTCAAAGGAGAGGGGAACTTGCCTGCATCTCAGCAAGCAAGTCACTGTTAGGATTAAGATGGTATAAATTACGAAAAATCAGCCAAGTTCTAGAATATTATGCAAACTTGGGGAAAACTGTTTCTACTGAAACTCCTAATTAGTAACCTACTTAAAAGATAAAAAATGTTCACAGTTCATATTTTGTAGACTGGAAGACACTCACTGACTCAGAAAGTGAGCTACAATCTTTGGAAAAGACAGTATATTTTCTGCTCTTTTACATATACTATGTATCTTTTCTCATCTTTTCTGCTTAATCTGGAACCCCCTACTACATGCCCTAAATTTTCCTTTTACTCACCAGCTCGGAGGGGCCGCGGAACTCCTCCAACAAAGATAGTTTTTCTTGGATCCAAAGGCTGAGACCCATCCATCACAAAGTCACTGTCACTCAGGTTCCAAGGTCGAATTTGCACCTGTATTGTTTTTAGTAGAGGAACTTGAGAACTCAATTAAAATTAAGAAACAACTGCCAAGTCTTTCTATAATTAAAAATATAATTTTAACTTAGCAAAAGCAGTAAATCAGTGGTATAACCACCAAAACAATTTGAGAACATAGCTTATCCAAGTGTTCGAAAGAAGGTGGACAATTCGTTTATCACCTCTAGAGGCCAGGCTTGAGTTAAATTTCATCACAGCAAACTCCTACCTCATTAATTCCCTGCCCCTAATCACCATTGTAATAAGAAATCTGTGAAAGGACTTTCAGAACATGTATGTGCAATTACAGTTGCAGTCTGGGCTTCTGGCTTTCCTGTAATCACATACAGTGATCCACAAATTTCAAAGCCCTGATAGGAGTGGAGATAAAGTTAATTTTTGTGCTTGGATACAAAAGGAGTTTTTATAATGTGTGAATGCTCACTTTTGTTAAGCAGCAAGCAACACAGTTGATAAATCTTTAGATTACACAGAAAAAAAACTGCTCAGAAGTTATTTGGATAAAGATGTTCATCCATCCATTTATTGATCCTAGAAATCACGTAAGCACACTCACTGTGCTATAATACTGGGTTGTTCATTTATCTGTGCAAGCTTTTTAACCGTGGTTTTAAGAGGCAGCATGGTTGGGGTTTTTTATTGTTTATAATCTGTATGTATCCATAACCACAAAAGAGACTAGCATTAAAGAATGTTAGAGATGTGAACAATAGAAACAGGTTACCGTATGGCTTCTATTCTGCTATAGCTGTCTGCATAGGGTAAAAAACAAGTCTCTTTTTACCCTGCAGTTTATGTAAGGTAAATGAGACCTAAATTATAAATTGATTAGCTATTGTATAATTAAGAAACCTAATGAAGTACAGGGGATATTTGAAGCTATCTGGATTTTAATTTGGGGGGGGGTGTTAAGTTTCTTCATTTCATTGCATAAGGCTTTCTTTTCTTTCAAACAATATAGAGGGAAGAATTATAATCCGATTGTTTCACCGCTAACATTGTGAAAGGATGCATACTGCTGTGAGATACCAGAAGTACCAAATATAAAAGTTAATTGAACATGGCATTTATCAGAAAGAAGCAAATGTTAAAACCATGTTACGCTGATACAGAAAGTCCATTCAATGTAATAGCAAGGACAGCAACAGGAAATGGACAAGTCAATCAACTGTAGGTATTTCTTTATGTATTAACTGAAAAGAGTAACAGCAAATGGGTTAGCTACCAGCATAAGTGTCATGGCACAAGCTACTTACTGGTTTATCCTTGATTGTGGGACTTGACACACACAGGTAAAGTTTCCCATCTTCTTCCAGACAAGCATCTATCAGAGCTTGTACAGAGCTTTCTTCCTGGAACAGCAGAAAGGCATAACCTTGGAAAGGATAAAGGCACAAGAAAGAAAAACCAGATTAATTTATGAAGCATTTTTTTTTAGAAAGAAAACAAACCCAAGAAGTGAATAAGATATACAAATTACAAATAACTGTTAAGGCTGTTAGTTTGTTTTCATAAACTAAACTCACCTGTATAGATCGCACCCTCATACAGTATTGATTTCAGAATGGAGACAAGAGTGTTTGCTGCATATGAGTATGTTTATTTGATTAATTAATGATTTTGAGCGGTGAGAATATAGGCTGGTGAATAAGGGGTTCTTATCATCCAACAACTGTATCTGAGCTATTTATCAGTGGTATCTGCTGGTATCAGCGATCATCATCTTACAAGGGAGGCACTGGGTTTCTGGTTACTATATACAGTGAATAAATGTTAGAAGAAAGGGTCAAAAAAAAAATGGACAAGTAAACAGATAAATAGACTTCTATGCTCACATACTTAACTATGAAAAACAACGCTCACCTAAAACCAATAAGCATAAGCAAAAAAGAATGGCATGCATTGTGTTTTATTATGAGTCAAAGACCTGCTGTTGTTATTTATATTTAAATAAAGCAGTTCAAAAGGAAGAAAGAAGAAAGCCCCATAAAACTTGCTCCAAGTGATTCAGAACTTTAGGACTTTAAATTAGCCAGTAAAACTAAGTGTGTGTGGCATTCAGTGCTCTTCTGAATGCAGCTGGCAAGAAAGCTTTCTTCAGTCTTTATGTTGTTAAATTTGAATGAAGATTTGACCCAAACAGTCCATGCTTTTGCTACCTTAGAAGTGAAACTAATACAGCACACTCCGCACTAAGCAAAGCCATCTAAAGACTGGCTGCTAGACTTGAATACAGCTGCCCAGTTAAGAGGGCTTTCTATGGAGCATGCATTGCTCTTTTGCTCCATAATCAGTACGACTCAAGTTTTCTCCCTGAATGTGAACGTGTTGGCTTTGACCTTTATAATTTGGCACTTAACGTGTCTTACAGGCTACCTCTTTTCAGAAAATCTGCAGCAATTAGAAGCAGCTGGGGTTTAAGCAGGGACTGCTAGACTTTCTCTGCCTAAGACTCTTGACACAAACTAAGCACCTACACGATGATATACCGTATTTAAATTATGACAACTTTTGATACAGCTTTACACAGTCTATTTGCTATTAATATATAGTAGTGACTTACCCTAATTTTGCACTGAGTATTGAGTGAATAGTATTTGGCATGTCCTTTTTAGAGGAAATACTACACAACTCTGATTCATAAAAAAAATTTTAGACAGACACTGAAAAAGTGTTTTCCTCTAGAGTTATTATCTACCAAATTACCTCTTACCCTACTATCTCTAGTCCTGTGTGACTTCTCAAATAACATTAAATTCTATGCTGTTTGTTTTCAGAGGCCAAGGAAGTTTGCGTTAACAACATAGTTATAGCCCAGAGCACATCTAGAAAGACTGACTTCCCCAAGAAAACAAAATAGTTTTGATCATCAGCAAACCAGGAACTTGCATACCTAGAGTTGGAGTAGATTAAAGATACCAGTCCCAATAAAAAGTGAAATATTTCTTGAGTAAAAACATCGGTTTCCTCTCTAGCAGATATATTTCTCTTAAAACAGTCCCCTAAAGATATAAACACACTTCAACATTTTAGTTTTAGACTTTACAAAACTAATTACATTAACTGAGTATGAAAATAATTAGCTTGCAATCACTATCGTTTTTAGTTTCATTTTATTTTCCATCCATGTGCTTGTTATATCTTCCTCACTCCATACCGCCCCTTCTGATTATATTCAACGATGAGAGCAAAAACTTTATACAAATTAAAGTATCTTTAGTTTAGCAACTTTTTCAGCCTTACAAAATGCCCCAGTAAGAAAACTAGATACTTCGAAAAGACTACCATGGCAACTACACCTCCAAAGCCAACTGATCCCACTTCATGGTTCAGCCCAATCCTTGCCTTATATTTTATATAAATGCATTGTGAGACAAATTCCCAGAAGATGCAGTGCAGATCAGCCCAGTACTATGAAATCCAAATAAGAATACAAGTACATTTATGCATACTTCAAAAGAATGGTTTACAATATATTTAAATAGATTTAAACACTTAGGATTTATCTTCTGACCAGACCGTAAGATTTGAACTCTAAAAAATAGAATTTTGTATATTTCAGACTTTTACAATACTAAACCAGCAAAATATTGGAAATTTCTTTAGCATAAAGTCAAAATGAAAATTGGAAAATGTTTTTTGTGGCTTAATCTGTGGTAGTTGGAGTTGACAGCCATTTGGGGGTACAGTAAATGGTATGATCATAATTTCCCAAACCAGTTAAAATTAACCAAACTTGTTAATTTTCTCTGGCTGCTAGATTACAAGAGCAGTCCAATTTAGTAAGAATTCAGTTTTCTAACCCGGGGCTAGCACCTGCCGTGAAGTTTAGTAAGTTAACACCTCCTCATTTCTCTAGACCTCTGTGACTGTAACACACTCTCCTGCCTGCTAGAGAGTCTCTATGGGCCCTCTGAAGAAAGGCAGGTAAGCAGTTTACAGCAGCAGTCTTCTGTTAATCTAGAAAAGCAAGCAGGCTAGACTAGCATGACATGATGTCCAGCATTACTTCAAAACCTGGTGATTGCACATCTATTCCAATTATTCAAGGACTTTCGGTACTCAAGATTAACAAAGATTACACTGAAATGGAAAATAATTAAAGAACAGGAGTTGAAATAATAGAAGGATCATGTAGAAGCTGATACGGACAAGAAAGATATCTGCCAAAGTTAAAGGTATTTGTAGTCATTTTCTAGAAGCGCACAGGGATGCAAAAACCTTAAATTCAGAAAGGTGCAGCTCCTTCACGTGAGCAGTGGGAAGTGCTAGGCATTGCTATTACTGAAGACTTACCCTCTTGCTCACAGTACCGCTGTTCGTTATGCTTGTTCATCCAAGCAAATACATGCTTCCATGTTAGAACTCTATAGCAGGAGATGCACTCTGAACTCAGATTCCAGTACAAAAAGTGAAATTGGAAAATACACATGCCAAAACTGACATTGCATAAAGAATTACCTCACACTAGATGCAGTTTATAATGAAATAATTTTTTTTGATAGGAAGAAAACACCATTTTTAATAACTTCAGCCACAATTTAAAGAAAAAACAGCATGCCAATCTGTAAATTAACAGTAATTAATTATCTTTTTCTGTCAGCTGTGTTTCAATGCTAAGTTTGGCTATAATTTTATAAAACTCTAAGAGTATTCATTCCTGAAGAGATTCTCAAAAATGTCTACTTCAGGTATTATATCCTGTTCTACTGCGTATTTCTATTCCTTTTTCTACTACACACAATGAGAGATGAGCCTAATCCCCAAAAAGCTTTACTGCACGGCCAGTTGACTTCTAACATTCAGAATGGTCAATTATAGGGGTTTCTAGGTTTAAAGAAACTTAATTCACGTTTAAAGACAGTAGGTGAGGTAGAATTAATAAGATAATCAGTTTCCAAAACAAAAACATTAATCCAAATAACTTGAATTATTTAGCAGATGCTGAAAGTTGCTTCAAATTCCTCAGCATTGTGTGCTTCAGCACGTTCTCCTCTCGGTATATCATGGGTATCGTATGACTTAAAGCATATGGGTATTCTCCAAGAAGTAAGAGATTTGATGAATTTCAAAATGTTAATTCTCTACAGCAGAATCTTGGCAGCATGCTGTGGTAGTATGTTGCAGACAAACTTCAGCAGTGATCCCTTCTTACCTGACCAAACGTTCTAAACGTTTGAGGGCTCAAGGGACTGCTCCTGACTCAGATTCCACAAAGTAAAACAGGTGAGATATTTGAAGACCCAGAAAACAGCAAGGTACCTGACCACAGCTGAATATTCTATATACACAGATATATGGCTTCTCGGCAGAGCAGAAACAATCCAGCTCCTCCTCAGCTGTTGGTACAACAGGTCACTGTAGTGCTGACAATAAACATTGCACTTTGCAATCCACTGGAAAAAGGCAACAACGTATTTTTCTGTAAGAAAAGTCGCTACAACTTTTAAAGGGGTACAGCAGGTTAATTTCCCTAGATTCTGAGGCACAGCCTAGGAGCTCCTCAACCTTGAGCTCAAGGATTCATTATTTTATGGAAAGCAGTACAAGAACTAAGCTCCTTTGTACATGTCCCATTCTGACATCTAAACAGTGACACAATTTCCATATGAAAGGATAATTTAGTCCGGTTGGTCTAATTTCACTTAACCTTGCTGAATACAAACTGGAAAATCTGGCATATACGCTGTGTCCCACAAGCTTGAAACAAGGTTGTCACTTGAAATGCAAGATACACTTGGAACTACCATATAATGTTGCTATAGTCCGGAAAATGCATTTTTGCCAGCCTAGTCAGTCTGGAAAATCTCTATTTCAATTAATATCAACGTAGGCATACCTTCTCTAATGATGGGAACTTTTCTGTATTACTGAAAGCACATTTTGTAATAAGGCTTCAGTGATCTCTTCAAAACAACATGCTAGATGGAAAGCTTATTAAGGTGCTTATTCTGCCTTTCTTATAATAGCAGAATCTTGATATTCATACTTCTATGTTAAAAACTGGCACGTTGGTACAAATTACAGGGAATCATATTGGGAGTTTCAGCTAGAAGTGCATCATGTATGCGTTCTGCCCATCCTTCTTCAATGTAATTAAAGTGAAAATAACTACTCGTGAACCTTTATTAGGGCAGAATGTGTATTAAGTGTATCAGGTGAGGGAGAAAATTAACTTATGCGCCTTGTAGGCACCATTCAACTTAGCAAGCCATAGCTGGTAGAGTTTATTGGAGAAGACTTATCTTCTTGTCTGGACCAAAATATTTCTGAGTTAAAGATGATCCAACTTCATGCCTTTCATGGCTCACCAGGAAAAGACTCACTGCATTTCAGAGCATCCATGAATAAAAGATGTTAAAAAAAAAGAAAAGC